TAAAATTATGACTTTTTAAATTTATATTTTATTAATTTTACTAATATTTTATATTTCAATTTTATAGTTTTAACCTAACGTCATAATTTTGACTTTTCCTCATAATGACTTCACCTAATAATTATTACTTATATCATTTTTTAATTTCTATATTTTACTAATATTTTATATTTAAATTTGATCATTCTGACTATCATTTTGACTTTAGTTTTATAATTTTGACTTTGTAAACTCAATTCCGATTTGTCAAATTCAACTTTTTCCCCTCATAATTACGAGTTAAATGTTGAAATTATGACAAGTCAAAATTGACATCCTCACATCTCATTATGACACAGTATGGCAATTATGACTCATAATTATGACTTTTCCTCTTTTTTTTTTTCTTTTTCTTTTTCGCTCATATTTCTGATATTTTTTAAATGTCAAAATCATGATTTATGAAAGCTTGATTTTTTTCTTATGTGGTGGAGACGGGCTTCCATGCATGACTCATCTGATGAGCTCTGCTCCAAAAGCACATTCGCTTGCTTTACAGGGAGGATAAAATGATGCTGTCTAGGAGCAGAGGAACAGGAAGTGATGTCACACTGACCGGAGGGCTGCGCCGGCGGGGGCAGCGGCTGAGAGCGCTGTGTGGGGTATGACACCTGGTGAGAGATGGAGCGGAACTGCTGGCCTGAATTCGGATACTGTCCTCCGGTGGAATAATACTGAACCTGGATCAGAGAGAGAGAGAGAGAGAGAGAGAGAGAGAGAGAGAGAGAGAGAGAGAGAGAGAGAGAGAGAGAGAGAGAGAGAGAGAGAGAGAGAGAGAGAGAGAGAGAGAGAGAGAGAGAGAGAGAGAGAGAGAGAGAGAGAGAGAGAGAGAGAGAGAGAGAGAGAGAGAGAGAGAGAGAGAGAGAGAGAGAGAGAGAGAGAGAGAGAGAGAGAGAGAGAGAGAGAGAGAGAGACGGGAGCGGAGAGAGAGAGAGAGAGAGAGAGAGAGAGAGAGAGAGAGAGAGAGAGAGAGAGCGAGTCTGATGATGACAACACACACTGCACATCATTACCTCTGATATCACCCACACACACACACAGAGATACACACACTCTTTCCTACTGCATTGTGATTGCTATCACAACATAAGAGCTGCATATTTCACGAGATTCGAACAAATACAACCAAATTTTATGGCATTACCAAATGCAGAAAAATCAAGTCTCATTCTAGGGAAAAACTCCAGCATGATTGCAACAGCAGCAAAATATGTATCAGCCTGTCACAAACTAAGAGAGTCAGCCAGTGGACAAAACTAAACATATGTGTAATTATCTACTTAATGAATTACATATCTATTCTTGTTTTGTTTATGTATTATATAATAATTATTTGTTCTTTGTTCATGCAATAGTCAATGCTTTGGCAGTACTGTGCAAGTCATGCCAATAAAGCTCACTTGAATCGAATTGATACATACACACACACACGTTGTGTTTCCATGTTTTATGGGGACATTCCATAGGCGTAATGGTTTTTATACTGTACAAACTGTATGTGCTATTGCCCTACACCAACCCTACCCCTAAACCTACCCCTCACAGGAAACTTTGTGCATTTTTACTTTCTCAAAAAAACTAATTCTGTATGATTTATAAGCTTGTTTCCTCATGGGGACCTCAAAAATGTCCCCACAAGGTCAAAATTTACTAGTATTACTATCCTTGTGGGGACATTTGGTCCCCATAACGTGATAAATACCAGGTACACACACACACACACACACACACACACACACACACACACACACACACACACACACACACAGAGTCTTGAGTATTATGTGCTGCTCATATTACAAAGATGCTCTGATGGAATATAAAGACTGTGATTTACTGTTTATTATAGCGGTGCGCGCAAGGACCAAAATCTAATATCACTGTATGAGTCATTTATTAATTATATCACAATATATCACATATACTTATATCACATCTACTGAAAATAGCAGAGATTGATTCTTGGGTTTTAAGAATCGATATCAGTTCATCAAAATGATAATTGCTAAAAATGTCTGAATCTGAAAAACTAAATTCGAATTTTGTACTTAAATAGTATCAATATTCAAATTATATTCGAATTTAAAATGCATAATTTCAGTTAGGGGGAAAAAAGCTTTTGGCTTCTCTCCTGAGGCCACAAGAGGGCGCATCGAGCAAAATATTACTAATGCACATTTATTCAAAGCAATAAAATAACACGACTATCTTTGAAAAAAGTGCATAATGTTTAAAATAATGTTTATAAAGCATATATATAATTAACTAAGTTGCTTAAACAATTAGAAACAAAACAGCATCATGTATGTATGCATAGTTTAATACAAAATCACAATGACAAATAGTACTTTTTCATTTAAAAACATAAGATGCAGTGGGATGGGGAAAAACCGCCATAAAGTCTCGAGACATGTTTTTAAAAGTTGAACTTACATAAATATTACATGGCTTTCTAAACATGTGGCTCTTTTGTGCGAGACGCGAGTGCAACGCTGATAGATGTCCCTCTAGAAAATGCGATAAATATGCGTTCTGTGTGAACGGCTTGGTTTCAGTTTTGATGTAAACAACAACATCTCCACATTGATGTTCTCTTTTTCCGCAATATTTTGACTGAACAACGCAGCAGCGCCATCTAGTGGCTTCAACTGGATAGGTTAAAAAAAAGCATTAAAATGCAACGACACCTACATCGTCATCGCATCTCGTGCGCCACTGATAAGCTGCCTGACGCACACCTAAACGTTTTTGCATTCGAATTTGGATTTATATTTTAAATTCGAAACTCAATTTTTTTTTTTTGACATGCCTAGTAGTTTTACATTATTACAGTTTCTGCAAATGTATCTAATATAGGATAAATGCTTCTCCCGATTCTTATCAGCCGTTCGGTGTAAAGCGCAGCAGAAACTGTGATTCACAAACACAAACATTCCTTCACAACAATCACACTCGGCATCTTCTCACACTTCCTTTTCTAACTAAAGTTTTCCATCACTGCTGTGACAACTTCCTGTTTCCTCTTCAGAGAGCGAAAGAGAGTCTGCTAATATTTAAGTCTGGAAATTACAGCTTTTCACCTCGGGATTGGAGCTGAAGGCATTTAGCAGACGATGATGAAACAACACAAACATGATTCAGAGCTACAGGACGGAGTTAATGTTGGTTACTGTATACCGCACAGTATTTGTGAAATACACACCATTCAGAAGTTTGGGGTGGGTAAGATTTTTATGTTTCTGAAAGAAGTCTCTTCTGCTCACCAAGGCTGCTGCATTTATTTGATCAAAAATACAGTAAAAAATTGTGAAATATTATTACAACGTAAAAAAATGATTTTCTATTGTAATGTTAAAATGTATGGAAGCCCATTTCTGCCCCAGAATGAATGAATGAACGAATGTAATTGTGACAATTATCTCACAATTCAGACTGTTTTTTGCAATTCTGAGAAAAAAGTCAGAATTGTGAGATATAAACTCAGGATTCTGAATTATTATTATTATTTTTTATCAGAATTCTGAGTTGACATCTTGCAATTGTTTTTTTTTTTCTTTCTGCCATGGAATAAAAATAAAACTAGTAATTGCAACATTTTATTTCACAAGACAGACTTTCTAGACAGAATTGTGTGCAGTTGTGAGTTTATAATGCACAATTCTGTCTAGAAAGTCTGTCTTGTGAAATAAAAAAAATTTTTCTCAGAATTCTGACTTCACATCTTGCTAAATTATTAGTTTTTTTGCTGCCATGGAATGAAAAACATAAAACAGGTCATTTTTATCTCACAATTCTGACTTTTCTTCTCAAAAAAGTTTATACCTCGCAATTCTGAGTTTTATATTTCACAGAATTGCAAAAAACAAGTCAGAATTGTGAGAAGAATCACAATAAAAATATTTTTTTATTCCATGACAGAAACAGGCTTCCATAAAAATTTAATTTATTTCTGTGATCAAAGCTGAATTTTCAGCATCATTACTCCAGTCTTCAGTGTCACATGATCTTCAGAAATCATTCTAATATGCTGATTTGCTGCTCAATTATCAATGTTGAAAACAGTTGTGCTGCCCAATATTTTTGTAGAAACCGTGATACGTTTTATTTTTCAGGATTCACAGATGAATAGAAAGTTCAAAAGAACAGCATTTATTTGAAATATAAATCATTTGTAACATTATGTCTTTACTGTCACTTTTGTTTAAATTAATGCGTCCTTATTGAATGAAAGTGTTAGTGTGTGTGTGTGAGAGAGAGAGAGTGAGTGAGTGAGTGTGAGTGCGCGTGCGAGTGTGTGTACATTAGTGTGTGTGTGTGAGTGTATGTGTGCACGAGTATGTGTGTGTGTGTGTATTGTGCGGGCGGAGCTGTCTGTAGGATGGGTTGTGTTGGTGGAGGCGGTGGTGGAGGAGGATGTGGGTGTGGAGCGGCAGGCTGGTATCCAGAGGGCGGCGGGGGCAAGATGTAGCTGGGCTGCGGTGGAGGATGCTGGGATAGTACGGCGGGTGGAGGCTGGTATAGGCTGGGTGGCTCAGGTGCCTCGCTGGAGCTCTGACGGCTGAGAGACATCTGCCCAAAACCTGGAGTCAACTCATCTCCCTGAACAGAGACAGAGAGAGATCAGTATGAGCCGCTTCAAACCCTACTGAGCAACTTCACTGTCTACATAGGCAGCATCCTAACAGTTATGGAGCTTCATAAGTGACTGGTCTGAAATCATGCACAGAGCTGCACAGCAATTTTACAATTTTCAATGAGCTTGTCAATGCATTCTAAGATTGCCTTACCTACTGAAGATATACTAAATACATATGTAACTACAATAAAACAGTTATAAAATAAAATATAATACAAAATTAATAAATAAAAATAAAAATAAAAATAAAATACAATAAAATGAGAAGTTCATCCACCTAGAATAGCTGTACTAGGACAAAAAAAAAAAACAGAAAATAAAAAGCACAAATAATAATAATAATAATAATAAAATAAAAAAATTTAATTAATTAATTAATGAGAAGGTCATCCAACATCCACAGGACAAAAAACAAAAAAAAACTAAATAAGAAATAAAAAAGTTAATATATATAAAAAATAAATAAAAAATCAAATACAATAAAATGAGAAGTTCATCAATGTAGAATAGCTGTACTAGGATAAAAACAAAGCATAAAATAAAAATACAATATTAATAACAATAATTAAACAATTTAAACAAAAATTACATAAAAAAATACAATAAAATAAAATGAGAAGATCATTCACCTAGAGTAGTTGAATCAGGACAAAAAGCATGAAATAAAATAAAGTAAATATAAAATACAATATGACAAAATACAATATAAAATGCATAAAATAAATAAATTAATAAACTAAACTAAATTAAAATAAAACTCATCCACGTGGAATAGTAGTACGAGGACAATTCAAAACCTTTACATCTCAAGTAAGACATTTTGGTACAAAACAATTAATACATGCTCATCGACAAAAATATAATGTGCTTATTGCTGCTCAACACACACAAAAAAAAAACTACTTAATACAATATCCAGCTGAAGAGCAGAAGAGATGAAGGGAAATGAAGGGAAAGATTCAGGAGAGAGAGGAGAGGTAAAGTACCATGTTGTACTGCTGGGAAGGAGAAACAGGCAAGATGACCTGAGGGCACGAAGGGTTTGAGTAAGACACAGCCTGCGCAGACGGCTGCAGAGACACAGAGAGAACAGAGGAACAGACTCAGAGCTCAGGAGGAGAGCTTAGAGAAGAATGTTCTGTTCATGGACAGAGAACCTCAAATACTAAATGGCCACGCACACACTGCAGCTAAATTCAGTTGTCAGTTCACCTTTTACTCCTTAATCGCATTCTGTACACACATAATTCACTAAAATACGGGAGTGACAACCGCATTAAAGGTCCTTGCACCGAAGTCCGAAATTTTCATATGCATTTTTTCGTATTCGTCATCCTAAAAATTCGTCACGCACAGAAAACTTGCACACTGAGTCCGATGTGTATTACTTAATCAGTTGCAAAAAAATCATGTATCTCATATCCACAATAGACCACTTTATTAACTCCATAAAGCTAAGACCAAACAACATGCCTAAAAGTGCTTATAAATATGAGGACATGGCAACACTGCAAGACAGCGCTCTCTAAAGCAGCCTCCCGAGCATTAACAAAACACAGCACATCTATCAGCGGTAGTTTAGTTAAAATAGACAGACAAAAAGAGTCTTTAGTCAAAAAGTGGCAGATATCAAATGGCTAAATTCGTATTCACTCCTGCAAGATGCCAAAATGTTGCTATGGTTACAAATGCGGGAGTGACTGCTGTTCCCTACACACACGGAACGATAATTTACGGGAATCACTCCAGCATTTAAATGCAGCTGTCACTCCTGAAACTTGCAGTGTGTACGTGGCCAATCTGTACTAAATAAGAAATAGCATTAATTGCCCAGCCCTAATATATATATACATACACACACACACATATATATACTGTATATACACACACACACACACAAAAATGAAAAATATAGTTTCCAAATGAAAATAATTATCTCCTAAATTATCAATTAAGAATTTGTAATTTACCAAAGAAATTTGTGCATGTATCATCACGATCAATCATTTTCTTAAAGGACTTTGTGTTTGGGCTTTTGGGCTTGTTTTGGCTTTTTTCATTCATGTTTTTGTTTGTTTCGTTTTTCGTAATTTTCAAAAATATATCTATTTTATTTTATACTGCTCAAACCTCTTTTTGACATGTTTTGATTGTTTTACGAAATGTTTGGATTGTAACGTGAGTTTGTGCATCTTATTTCACAACAAATGACACTTGCTGCTGTGATATTTTGTGATTTTTTCAGACCTCAAGTAGCATTATGTATTAAAATATTTTTTAGGGCTAATTAATGTAAGTTTAAAGAGCAGTTAAGATCATGTTTAGTATGATAATGTGTGCATCAGATTGAGTGACTCCAGGACTCACCTGAGGCAGCATGTGATTGTGCGCGCTGATGGCGTGCTGTGTGTGAGTGTGTGTGTGAGAGTGTGTGTGTGTGAGAGTCGGGGTCGGCAGCAGCGGCGGAGGGGCCGGTTGGCTCGGGGTCTGAGGGGCTCCGGAGGGGCAGTTCGGGGGACACGGCAGGAGCCCGCGGCTCTGCTGGAGCGGCTGAGCTGGGGTACAAACGTCCAGAGTGACTGTGGGAAGACCTGAGAGGACAGAAGAGCATTAATGTTCATGTCACAATACAGAGCGAGAGATGATCCGACCACACACCAGCATGCATGTTCACATGAATAAACAAAAGAAAACACTTGCAATTCAAATGCATTAATGCTAAATGCCATCACTAAAATCTATTATATATACTATGATGTGTCTGACCTGAAATAGAGCAATAGACAACACATGATATAGAAGCATATAAAAATATCGAAATAAAAATATATTTTTAAAATGTAATTTAAAATGTCATCCCTGTTATTCATTTCCCTTCAAAAATAAGCAGTTCAATGCATTTTGCAAAAGAAAAAAAAACAACTAACCGACCAACAAAACAAATAAATAAACTATATATATATATATATATATATATATATATCTGGGCAAATGTTCAACAGCTCAAGACTCTATCATACACACAGTATCTACATTTATTGTTTTTAATAGAAATGTATACCTGGTAACTAAATAAATATTTTCCCCCTATTTTATTCCTGTTTTGGGATAGAATAAAATGAAATGAAATAAAATATTCTCCCAAGCAAGTTGTTTGGGAAGAAACATAGTTGGGAATAGGGCTGGGACAATAAATCGATGCATCGAGAAATGATTCTGCATTGATTCTGAGATTTCCCGAAGGCATTGCGATTCTCTCTTGAATCGATTCTGAGCTTAGTTTTTAACAGCAGATGGCACTGCGTGCTTTAGAAATAGCTGTATTCTGCTTGCTTCCAGTTCCTTACACACGCACCACTTGAACCTAAAATAATCATTCATAAAGTTCGAAAAGGTTGAAGTGAATTACAAGGATGTTCACAGTGGGCTGTGTTTACGTTAATCTCGCATCATAAAAGCAGATGTGCAAGTACATTTAACCACTTACATTACTCAGCTGAATGCACAAGCGCTCTTCTTCGTGAGCATTTGAGTGTGTGGTTAAAAACTAGCCTAGAGCGCCATCTGCTGTTAAAAACTAAGCTCAGAATCGATTCCAGAGAGAATCACTAATCTCAGAATCGTTCCACGAAACGCGATGCATCGATTTATTGTCCCAGCCCTAGTTGGGAGAAATAAAATGAAATGAAATTTTCCCTCCCAAGCACGTTTCTTCAAAGCACAAACTATTATTGGCTGAGTAAAATATGCCGGGACGAGATGTTTTGTTTTTCAAACTTGTAGCGGCAAAAAACTCAAATTCTTTTGCGAAAACGCGTTAAGATGCAATGAGCAGCAGGATTTTGATCCTTTGCATCTGCATCTCTTGTTGTTCATGAGCATACTAAGATTGCGGCTTTGATATGAGGGATTGCTACATTTTCAATGTATCAGCAAGGGTGTGTGTGTTACCTGTTCGGGAGCCCCTGGCGCTGCCCAGACTGTCTCCGCGCGTGAGGATGGAGATGCCGCTGAAGCTGCTGGCTTTGGTGACCGGAGGTCTGAGCGTACGGTTGGAGCTGTCCGAGTCTGTGCTGCTCCACGGACGCGGCTCCAGGCTCTTCATGTCGCTGTCGGTGCTGCTCTGGCGACTGCTAGATGCCCGGCTGGAGCTTTCCCTGTTACCCCTGCGTGCGGGACGAGAACACACACACAGAGCTGTGTGAAAACAGACACAGACACTCATTCTGACAGTCCAAACACAGAGGCGGACAGTAGTGAAGGATTGTCACTCCGCTTTAAAAGTAGGGCTGCACGATTAATCGAATGCAATTGTCATGCGCATCTTGTCAGTAAAGCGGTTCTATGATCAGTAGTAAAACTCCATCATGTGCTTTCAGATGGAGCAGCATTTACTGCACAGAGCCTTAGTTCACTGACAAGCTGAATCAATGAAAGCAGTTAAATCTTCTGTTTATTCAGCTACCGTTACAAGATCCGCATGACTATCGCAGCTTTTGCCTAATCGCGATTTCATTGCGATTTATCGGGCAGCTCTATTTAAAAGCACATTTTTCAAGTGTCTGTACTTTTATCAGTGTTTTTCTTTGGAAAACGTTTACTTCACAACATTCCATAGCATAACATTGTACTTTTTACTGCACTACATTTCATATTAAATATTATTTAATACTTAATTGCATTAGGAATCTAGTACTTTACTTTTACTCAAGTAAAAGTAATTCAAAGTTTTACTTGAGTACAAGAAATTACTGCATTTTTAATGTTCTTAAGTATTAAAGGTAAAAAAACAACAACTTTTATTTATGAAAAGCAGTAAAAAGTACAACATTGTGCTTCGGAATGTAGTGAAGTAAAAGTTTTCCAAAGAAAACGCTCTGATAAAGTACAGATACTTTTTAGATTTACTTAAGTAAAGGAAAAATACTTCACTACTGTCCACCTCTACACACACACACACACACAAACATGCCGATCAATCACTGGAGCTCCGCACAAACTCGGTTGCAAGATATCAGACACAAAGTGCTAACAATAAACACAAACCTGAAAATTAAACATACACACATACAGACATACTCAAACATCAGACACACAATACAGATCTGGGCTGCACCGTACGGTCATATCCACCAAGCTTGCATTTAATGCAACAGCATGGAGTGGAGGAATGGTTTGCAGTGCTGCATGAGGATTTTCTAGTTTAAATGCACATTTGAAAACTACTTAATTCAAACATTTGCTTGTGTAAATTATGGGTTTTATTTACCGTGCAGCCCTTCGACACACACACACACACACACAGCTGCCCTCCTGCACAAGAGCAGCTGTCCAGAAAACCAATAATCAATCATCAGTCAATGGTTCTGTGTATTTAACAGCTAAAGATACTCAAAACAGTTCCAGAGTTCAGTAAATCTTCATCAATAATGTTACATTACACTCATCAGCTCTCAAAAACACTGTTCAGAGATGCTTCACGCTGACAAACACAAATTTAACCTGCAATTTACAGCTCGCATTTCTCACGTCATCACCGTTATTACGCTTCATGTGCAATTTTACAAAACGCACTTCCTCAGAGACCGAATGTGAGATGAACAACAGATGTAACAGACTAAATTCAAATATTTTGTGCAAAGAGTGAAAAATATTTGTGCTAAAAATGCACATTAGCATAAGATGATTAAAATAACTGATCTGTAAAACCCATCCTGGTGATGCCAGATGACTTATTTCCTTACGGGAACTGGGACTGGAGATGACATTTACGTTCTAGAGTGCTCTTCCACATTTTGCACATAGAATACTAAAACTACTGGGAACAAACACACAAGTTTTCCCAGAAAAAGGTGATGAAAAAGCATTTCAACAACAAATTTGATTTTACATCAGCAAAAATATTCAATTAGATCCACTCCAACACAAAATTGCCAGACTAAAGCTAATAAAAAGAGTCTATTTAATTGGACGAGAGACCTCAAAGGCAAAACTAGGACTTATTTACAAACTACAAGTATTATAATATTTTCCCTTGCCTCCCTTTCTTCCTATCATGGAGTCAAAAACTACGAAAGCATGCTTCCACCACATAATTGCAATTTTTATCTCACAATCTGGACATGTTTCCTTGCAATTCTGAGTTTTTCACAAATGTAAACGCAGAAATGCGAGCTGTTAACGCAGAAATGCGAGCTGTAAACGCAGAAATGCGAGCTGTAAACGCAGAATTGTGAGATGTAAACGCAGAAATGTGAGCGGTTAACGCAGAAATGCGAGCTGTAAACGCAGAAATGCGAGCTGTAAACGCAGAAATGCGAGCTGTAAATGCAGAATTGTGAGATGTAAACGCAGAAATGTGAGCGGTTAACGCAGAAATGCGAGCTGTTAACGCAGAATTGCGAGCTGTTAACACAGAATTGCGAGCTGTAAATGCAGAATTGCGAGCTGTTAACGCAGAAATGCGAGCTGTAAACGCAGAAATGCGAGCTGTAAACGCAGAAATGCGAGCTGTTAACGCAGAAATGCGAGCTGTAAACGCAGAAATGCGAGATGTAAACGCAGAATTGCGAGCTGTAAACGCACAAATGCGAGCTGTAAACGCAGAAATGCGAGCTGTAAACGCAGAATTGCGAGATGTAAACGCAGAAATGCGAGCTGTTAACGCAGAATTGCGAGCTGTTAACACAGAATTGCGAGCTGTAAATGCAGAATTGCGAGCTGTTAACGCAGAAATGCGAGCTGTAAACGCAGAAATGCGAGCTGTAAACGCAGAATTGCGAGATGTTTACGCAGAAATGCGAGCTGTTAACGCAGAATTGCGAGCTGTTAACGCAGAAATGCGAGCTGTTAACAGAATTGCGAGCTGTTAACAGAATTGCGAGCTGTAAACGCAGAATTGCGAGATGTAAAAGATGTTTACGCAGAAATGCGAGCTGTTAACGCAGAAATGCGAGCTGTAAACGCAGAATTGCGAGATGTTTACGCAGAAATGCGAGCTGTTAATGCAGAATTGTGAGCTGTTAATGCAGAAATGCGAGCTGTTAACGCAGAATTGCGAGATGTTAACGCAGAATTGCGAGCTGTAAACGCAGAAATGCGAGCAGTAAACTGAAATTACGAGCTGTAAACGCAGAATAGCGAGCTGTAAACGCAGAATTTTTCAGTGTACCAGTTTTTGTAATCAATCTTCTGATGCACAATGTGTTTGATCTCCTGCTTACGGCAATCACCAACAGAATGAAGTGTCTTCTGTCAGATGAACCTGTGAACATTTGAACACTGAACTAACACATGTCTGTAATGAACCCCAATCTACTGGGAAACCCAACAAACCCTGCAATCTGTGTGTATCTGTGGGGTGTGTGTGTGTAATTAATGAATGAGCTATTTTAAGCGACAGCTGCACTGTTTATTTTAGAGCTGCGCTCACTGCAAACACGCAACGCTCCGCTGCTCCATGACATTTGCTTTCTTTCATCCACTCGCTCACACATTTCTCTTCATAATCACAAGGATGAGATCTGGAATATGATGCAGTAACGTCACGCATTCAACAAAGATACAGAAAGACACTCCAGAAATGCGACACTATTGTTTATTGTATTACATGAGGAAACATCACACACACACATTGGAATCAGTCACACTGTTGAAGCAGGGCAAGCAACCAACAGATCCAGAACGTCCTGTTTTGTAACCATAGCGACTGGCAGGACTGGGCGGTATGATGGGATATACAGACTGGCGGCAGATTCAGCTGTATTTGTGAGCAAGACAGCAATTTAGATGTGGAAGTGATGAAGAAACGCGGAATAGTGTGAATTTACAAGCAGGACGTTTTTATATACATTATATATGTGACCCTGGACCACAAAACCAGTCATATGGGTCAATTTTTTGAAATAAATAAGCTTTCCATTGATGTATGGTTTGTTAGGATAGGACAATATTTGTCTGAGATACAACTATTTGAAAATCTAGAATCTGAGGGTGCACATACAAATATACCCCAGCGACTTAACACTGCTTTTGTGCTCCAGGGACACATATTACAACCTGGGCTCTGAACCGGTTCAAGGAACAAAAACGAAAACCGGAAACAGAAACGAAATCTAATTTTATAGTTCCGAACAGAATCGAAAATTTGAAATGGCCATTAACCGGTTAATAACGTTATTTTATCGTTCCATTTAGAAATTTGCTGTCAACCAATAACAAATTAAATGGCAATGCACCGGCGTTAGAGTTTATCCGAGGATAGTGTAAACCTGCAGCGCTTCTGTGAACGGAGAAAACGCGATACTGTGATAGGCTTACATAAAAAGGAATATATAGGCATACACACAAAATAAATTTCACTTAAATCATTGACAGATTAACAAAACGAAATAAAAAAATTTGAGAGTTACAGTTCATTGTGACGCGTTCCAAAGTTCTCGGAAAGGAAACCGAGACGGCAGAAAGTAATTTTCTTTATTTTAAAAGCTTTAGAGTTTCATTTATTTTACTGTTTTATTTATTTTGCAAATAGGCATACACAAAATATATTTCACTTAAATCATTGACAGATTAACAAAACGAAAGAAAAAAGTGTGCTGAGTTATGGTTCATTGTGACGCATTCCAAAGTTCTCGGAAAGGAAAGCGAGACGGCAGAAAGTAGTTTTCTTTATTTTGCAAAAGCTTGACAGTTTTAAATGATGTCTTGCTTCTATCTGTATAACCAACCAGCGTTGGTATGATATCGCGCCGGCGCCTCACACGCACACAGACACAACATATTTTGCGACATTGCAGCCTGTTCATTATCAAAATAAAATACAGTTAAAGAAACAAATAACAAGTAATAAGTTACACTGCTCCGTTGTACAATCTGTTGCATTCAGCGAGCACCGCCTCACTGTGCTGATATAGCCGATGTAAAGGATGATGTTTTACGTCGATTAAAGTACAAAGCCTAGCCTATAATAAATAATATTTTAGCATTCAGATACGTCGCGAATATGGAAACATTTGGATTTGTGCCGAATGAGAGAGGTAGGCATCAGTTTCACCTTAAATTAATTTGTTTTTGGATTGACGTTTTTATAGCCTAAACGCATAGCCTTAACTTTAAAGGATTTGTTGTGGAGAAAAACTAACTGTGTTTATAATGTTTGTAAACATTTTGCTTTACCGGCATTTAAGCCTACATTATTTCTGAATGTAATAGGGCTAATAAAATGCTACGTGAGCCAATACGTAGCATATATATATATATATAAAAAATTTTATTTTTATTATTATTATTATTATCATGAAATGTATTCATATATATATTTAATTGTAAATATTTATTTCATTGGATTATATATAAATAGGCAAAAATACATGGTTATTTAGAACAAACTTTTTTTTTTATTCGCGGAATCGTGATATATATATAACATCACATAAATGACCTTATATATAATGATAATACTGTGATATAAGACTTTGATCATACCACCCACCCCTAGTGACTGACCAGTTTCTCTCTCTCTCTCTCTCTCACACACACACACACACACACACACACACACACACACACAACAAA